GTGGTATATGTAATTTCATCTAAAGGAAATCCTCTATTTGACATCTCATCACATATATCAAAAGCTTTTTCCATCTTCCCTTCCCTGCAAAACCCACTTATAAAGGCATTATACGTGATGGCATCTGGGACAATTCCATTTTTGGCCATCTCATTTAGAAGCTTCGCAGCTTCCTTCATATTTCCAGTTTTACAGTGCCCATCAATCATGACAGTATAGGTAAGCTTATTGGGGCATATATTATATGAAGACATTTCCTGCAAGACACCTTCAACTTTATCCATCTGGCCTAACTTACAATAGCCATCAATAAGTGCAGTATAACAGAAAACATTGGGCGATAATCCATCCTTCCTCATTTCCCCAATGAGGTCTTTTGCATTATCAACAAGGCCAATGTTGCACATTCCATGTATTAGAGAAGTATATGTAGCACAGGTTGGCATAATGTCCTTGCTTCTCATGTCATCTCGAAGTCTTAGGGCCGTGGTCATATTCCCATTTTTACTATAGGCACCAATAAGTATGTTATAAACAACAGAGTTTAGCTGCAATCTTTTATTAACAATCTCCTCAAATAATTTATGAGCCTCTTCCACCTTTCCAGCTTTAGAATATCCTTCTATCATGACACCATAAGTATAAACAGTGAAAACAGAACCATTTTGTTTGCACTCATCCCAAAGCTTAATAGCTTCTTCCAATTTGTTTGTTTTGCAAAAGCCATGTATAAGCGAATTATAAGTATAAATGTCAGGTAGAATACCTCGCTTAATCATTTCTTCTCTAAGCTTAATTCCCTCGTCTACTTTACCGTCCTTACAATACCCCAAAATAAGTGTGTTGTAAGAGATCCTATCCAATACCAAGCCCCTCTCTAATATCACTTCATGAAGTTTAAATGCCTCCTGTGTCTTACCTGCTTCACAGAGTCCATGTAGCAGAGCATTTGAGGTTAAAGTGTTGGCAGCAAAACCTTTCTCCAAGAGCTCAAACCAAAGTTCTACTGCCTCTGAATGCTTTTTATTCTTACAAAGTTCTCGGACCACAGTAGTCAGCAAGCCATCATTGGGTCTCAAATTTCTCAACAGCATCTCTCTAATAAAATGAAGTGCTGAATCAAACCTAGAATTCACGCACAACCAATGAATTATAGATGAATAGACACCTCGGTTTAAGGACAATTTTTTTGATAGCATTTCCTCTAAGACATGCTCAGCATGATTCATTTGACCATTCTTACAGAAACCTTGAATAAGCGAATTAAATGTTACTGAACACGGAGTTATCCCCTTGGACAACATATAATCCTTTATTTGCAGTGCTCTACTCATTTTTCCAATTCTGCAATAACCATCAATCAGAGTATTGTACACAATCTTATTTAGGACAAAACCCTTATCTGACATTTCCTTCAAAACATAATTTGCATCATCGAATTTCTCTGCTTTAATTAGACCATTAATAAGAATGCTATAGGTAAAAAGACTCAGTTCCACTCCTCTTTCTACCATCTTTTCTTTAAACAAAAATGCCTCATCCAATCTCCCATTCTTGCACAGCCCATGAATAATATTATTGTAAGTAACAACATTAGGAGCAATACCCAACTTTTCCATTTTCGTGAACAACCCAAGTGCATCCTCAATTCTTCCTCCCTTACAAAAAGCATTGATTGCAGTACTAAACAAATAAACATCTGGGTAAATACCACTAGACATAGTTTCAAACACTTCAAAACTTCTTTTAAGTTGATTGGCCTTCACTAAAGAACTCAATAAAAAATTGCAAGTCCTCAAAGAGGGAAACATACCAGCCTTGGCCAAAAGTAAAAACACATCTGCTGCAAAACCAAAGCCCAGATTTTTGAATTGAGCGCAATAAACATGAACCACTAGGTCGGCAACATGAACTCTATGAACTGGCTCAAAAAAAGCACTTAAATCTGCCATTTCAATAGGAACCTCCATAAGTCTATTCTTGGGGTGGTCTTTTGAAAATAGAACAGGCATCTTCCCATCAATTAAGCGGATCAGAAACAACCTCGCAGCTGATAAAAGATTCGAAGCAAGTAATAAATGAACCAATAAACAATAAGAACGAAGGGTGAAGCGAAACTTCAACGATTCTGATGCGAAGTAAAAGAATTCCAAAGCTGTTTTTGGGTTTGCTTTCGTCCTGACATCTAAGAATAAGCGATCAAATTCATGAGGAGACAAAGTGGATACAAGTTGCTTACATTGAGAAGAATCCAGAGACGAGCTTGAGAGAATAGAAGATACCCATTTTAGCAAACTATGGTTACAAGATTCCAGTTGGTCCAGTGGCAGCAATGGTGACTGTGGGTATTTTTGTTGGCTGTGAAGGCGTTGTTGGGCAGTGAATGTCACCCACGACAATGGGTGAATGATTGGCGTGAAAATTCTTCTGGGTTTTTTAACTGTGAATCTCCTCAAATCCATGGAAGAGGGATCGCAAAGGTATTGGTTGAGAGCTCTTTACTAATTCCCTGAAAAAGAGAATACCTATGTATTAATTGAAAATCATAGAAAACATGTCAAGAAGAAAGATTCTAACCCAAAAAAAAAAGAACTGGGAGATTAATAACTATCAATGAGATCTAAACAATTTGAGAAAACCAAATATTTACATGGTGGGATTAAAGCTTTTTCTTTTTTATTCTCTCTTTTCAGAGCACAGTAAATTTAACACTTTTAATGAATGCAGGCACAAAATTTAAAACGAAAGGAGAGACACCATTTTTGTGAAAATAACAGCAACTACATTCAACTGCAAAGATAATCAAATTCACTTCATCATGCAATCTGCCATAACCTCATAAGGTGAAAACATCCAATTCATTTCTTCTCGAATGAAACAGTGTTTAACTTTCATACAAACAAAAACTAGAGTCAGCAGTACGTCTCATAAAAGATTTCAGTTATAAATTGGATATATTTGGTAAAACTTCTCTGCGTGAGCTTTATCTAGAGTCTTCTCAATGTAGTCTTATGAGCGAGTTTTTTTGCCTATTCTCACAGTAGAGTGCCTCTTTCCTCTGTGATTATTGGTGTATATGAAGCAAAATGATCAAGTATAATAAGTCCAGAACCATATTTATCAGGATGGGATTAAGAGCATGGGGAGAACTGTTATCACATATGCTTTTATTGGCAGGTACCTTACAAGTTTATATTCTCATGTGTGATGAAACAGATTTTGGAGAATGATTGGAAAATCAGCTACCAATTAGGGATAAAGAGTTACGAAAAAAGATTCATCTGTATTTAGGTCACTAGACAAAGCTGATAATAGAAGAATTATAGGAAGGTGTTGGACTGAGAGGAGAGCTTACTTGTTTTGCAAGACTATAGTCCAGCAGCTGCAGTATAGGATTTGAAGTTCAATATTGCTCCCATTCTGGTTCGGAATCCATCAATTACCTCTCAGTATGAGCAATTTTAATCCCGAAAAATTGGAAGTCAAATTGGCAAGTTGGAATTTGAAATAGTGTTACTTGGCAAATGGAAGGTAAATTTGGAAAGGTTAAAGACAAGTCAAGACTGATGGTCGACATTCAAAAACCACTTCAGGCCAAAACATAATAAGGAAGAAGAACGGGTCGCAATTCCTATACATGACGTTTCTAGTTGCATGGTTTTATTATGTGTACTCAAAACGTTCCTTTGATTGCTTTTATTAGTAGGGAGAAGATACTTATGCTTTATAGGTTGTTACCAAGTAGAAGGCAACTTCATAATGATTAGCTAGTGTTGAAGATGAGAGAAGCTAATTGAAAATCTTTTGGGGCAAAGTAGGGCAGTTATGCATGCTCAGCATCATCACAACACTGCCAATCGAGTATGGAGGGTGGAGGGTTGCATGAAGGAGAACTAATCAAGTATAGATGCCAAAAGTTCCAGTAACCTGTCACTTGTTATGTATGTACACATGGACAGGGATTTTGATAAACCTAAAGAGTTGGTTAATTACGACTGCATGTGTGGTTCAGAGCCAATCAAGGCTGATCATGGTGGGTCCCAAGGGATTTATGAAGGAGGATGAACGGCCACTTTTGAGAAAAGAAGACTCGTTAGTTTATAATGAACACAGAAGGGGGGGCCATTGGCAGAATTGAGGGACATATGGAAATTAAATAGGGTGAAAATTCCGATATGATACAAGCCCAAGCTGAAGGGCTGCCCAAAATGAGACCCAGCTGGAGACTAGTATTTTAGAGAAAATGCTGAGAGATAACAAGCCTACGGCAGATAACATAAATGTTCTAAGCCCAATGATGTTCCTGGAATACTGTGAAAGAGAGGAGCATACGCTGAGGATGACAAGTTTGATTGTGGGCCCCCAACAGAAGCAAAGATAAAAAAGAAGACTGTTCCTAATGGATTCTGAGAAGTAATAGAAGAGGACCTTTATGATTACAGGGGTAAGATGCATCAGATTCAGGGGTGCTCAAGGCATTATTGAGCAAGGAGGACACAGTCAACTAATTAGCCAATTCTCCAAACTAAAGCACAAGTTTAACAGTTTGATTGGCTAAATAAAATGATTGGTACAGAAGAAGTCCAGAGCGTAGAAGCAGAAGCTAAATCTGAGACAAGAACCATGGTGGGAGGCCCCCAATTGTTCCCATGGCCGCACGATTGTTTTAGCAGTGTAGAGATTCAAAAGCTTGGATTTATTAAATGCAAGATTGTTGATGTTTTTGGGAAGAAAGGAGACTCTATTCGGAATGGAAGCTGGAGGTGAGTGTTAATGTAGTAGTATCTAATGGACAGATTATCACAGTATACTGTCAGCTAATAGTATAGAAAGTAATTGGTGCATATGTCATGTGTAAAGGCCACCATATTTTATCTAAAACAGCAATTTTGGCTAGTTTAAGAGAAATTGATGGGATTGCTCAAAGAACCTGATTGGTGATTGAAGGGTTTAACTTACTTCCTCTCAAAAGAAGGCATTCTATTATTTTTCTCAATGAGGCAAACCTTGAGAAAGAAATTATTTATCCATTAAAGAAAAAAGGCACTCGCTTCTAGTGAGTTAAGTAGCCACTTGTTCTTTTTTCTAGGAAATCTAGGGAATTACTATCAATTAGTGATTTATCAAAATCAAACGATCAATATGGAAACTAGCACCAACCGCTACAGCACCAAATTTAGTTAATACCGGAGCAAAAAGAAGTCACGAGCTACACACACATGAAACAGTTAAACCAATTTTTACTTATAATTTCATTTTAGTGTTGATGAAAGATTCTAATTTTACTAAACAGGGCAGAATTTTTTAATTCTCCCTTTCTCAGCCAAAACCACACAACGCTAATTTAGTACATCGCTCAACTATCAAATGAAAATCAGCCATAAATCAGAATGAACTTCAGCAAACACCAAGAATCATGAAAAGATAAAAAAGAAAAACAACAACAAAATGAAGATGGGGCTGAGTGGTCAAAACTATATTCAAAATAAACAAGGGAAAACATGTCAAAGTAAATTCAGAACTGCCAAAGGCCTTGGTGTATGTTTGGAACAACTGGCTATTTTTTGTATAACTCGTTCAGAATTCTACTCTTAGTTTCCTTGGAGGAGAACATAAATTATATTAAAAGAGATAAAAATGATCTTTATGAAATTTCGAGTGGGACAGAGAAAATATATTCCAAATTCCAGGAGGTTAACTTTTATCATTTTGGATGAGATTTCATTTTCTCCTAGTTAAAATGTAAATTTCCAAATAAATTCTACAATTGAAGTTCATTTATTGCAAACTTTTCCTTAAAATCCAAACCTCAGTAGACAAACAAGGAGAAAAAGAACAAAACGTGCTTGGATTTATATACGTACATATACTCGAATGTGGAAATGAAGAGGAAAATACGAACGGAAAAACAGCCAAAAGCGCCAGAATGAAAATGGATAAACAACACCAAACTCCAACCTGCAGTCTCTCAATAGCACCAAAAACAAACAACATTTGTATATCAAATCACTAGGCTGTTGTGTGTTATCATGAACTTATGCTAACTTGAGAATTACTAATTACACAATCAACTACCAAAAAAGCAAATTACATCAGGAAAAGAAACAAAGATATCAGAGCTAATTACACCCCAATGCAAATCTGATAAGACAAATATCCATGTTCACCCTACAATTAAACCCGGCCATCGTTGAGATAAGAGAAAGAAGCAAACTCCATCTGTTACCTCAGAGAAATGCAAAATATGCTAAAACACTAAGTAAGCAGCGGCGTGCGTTTGGAACCGGTGCTCCAAATGGTCCCGGCCTCTCGTGATTGCAAGACTAGCCGCACTGATGACGGAGAGATCTTGTAAACTCCTTGAGCGAACTTGCTGGTGCTGATACCAGATTTAGAGCCGCGAGGAAATGCGCCACCGTCGGTGGAGAAGTGTACCAAACGAGAAGCCGCAGACACGTCGAATTGATCCAATCGCCGGTTCAAACTTCTGAGGTGAAGAGTAAGCGTGGACTGAGATAAGAACGATTGTCGCCGGAGAATGATTGCGTCGCCGGCACAAGCTTTGTAAATGTGCTGGTTCGAGCGAGGAGCAGGAGAGAAAGAGCTCTCGAGGTTTGTTTTTTTTTTTTTTTTTTTTTTTTGAAGTTAAAAGTTTTGTAACTTCCATACCCAAAAAACATACCGTTTTGGTCCTTCTGGAGCCTGGACGCTGTTTGCATTTATATACAGGGGTAGTAACGGAACTAACTCCTAGAATTAGGGGCCAAAAGTATAATTTCAAAAAATAACAGGGTATCAGTGCAAAAAAAAAGGGATAGGTACTTAATGCAAGATTTTGTACCGTGAGTCTAACTTTTTTCTTTCAATTGGACTAAAAACATATTAATTTGCAAAAAAAAAAACATTTATTTAAGAAAAAAAAAATCAAGGTTTATTTACAATATGATTAAAGTATTTATATAAATTTGAAAACGTACTCTTTTTATTATTTAAATTCTTTAGCATGTTTATTTTTTTATTGAATTTAATTTTTATGAATTTATATATAAAATAAATGAATTGATTTTATATGATTTACTTGAGAATTTATTTTTAGTTTAACATGAAAAGGTAGAATTTCATTAAAATAATATAAAAGTTAACCTCCACCAAAATTTCATGTAATTTGAAACTGATAATGAAAATTTTTTTGGCTATGTAATCTAAATATAAATTTATAAACAAACTCTACAAAAAAATTAATTTATTATAAATTTTTTATTAATTTTAATAAGAAAAATATTTTATAATTATGGAATTCTCTTAATTAAATAAACATAAATAATTTATACTTAACTTAATTTTTAAATAAAATAAAAATTCTTTATATAGTCATAAAAGCTTCCCTTTGTCTCCGTGCAAGCTCGAAGCTTGCTTGTGACATCAAAAAAAGTTTTAAGTTTTGTGAAGCTTTCTCATTTTCTTGTGAAATAGGAAAGCTAGAGTGAGAGATTTCTTCCTCCATTCCTCTTTTATTTGTGCAACATGCTCAAATTTACGAGAAATATTTTCTAAAAATTCAAAGCTTAAGAAGTCAGATAATCCAAAGCTTATTTAATCCGTAAATTTGAGACATATTTTTCTTCGTCTATAAAGTCAAATTTTTTTCATTTCTTTCAACCACACACAAACTATAAATTTTTTTTTTTAGCAAAAACGTAAAATTTAAAAAGTGAAAAATCAGAAGTTCGAAGCATGTATTTTATTCCCCTAAATAATTTGTTTAAAATTATATGTTTAATAAAATAAATACACATTCGTTATTATATGACGAATTATTAATTTTTTTAAATTAAAAATATTTAAAAAATAAGACATTTTCAACCACCATTCGTTTAAAGCCAAGGACATACTCTTACTTTTAGAAGAAATCTTCTTGATAATGAATAAGGGATAAGAGTACGAGATAAAGAAGAATGAGAATAAAACTTTCCGTATGGGAATTTAAGAAATTAACAATTTATTTTTTAAAAATTTTAAACTAATGCGAGATGATTTAGATTTTTTTTTTGAACTAGTATATAAATTATTTTAATATTATATCAAATACTATGTAATATTTAATTAACATATGAATAAATCAAGAAGTACCATAAAAAAATTAACAATTTATTTTTTAAAAAATTTAAACTAATGCGAGATGATTTAGATTTTTTTTTTTTTTGAATTGGTATACAAATTATTTTAATACTACAATAAATAATGTGATATTTAACTAACATATCAACAAATCAAGAAGTAACATAAAGAAATAATAAATTATTATTTTTTAAAAATATAATGATTAATCTTACCGAAATTGAATAATATTTAAACAAAAATATTAAAATTAAATTTTAAATATGTTGACATCATAATTTTTAACTTTATTTTTATTTTTTAAATATAATAATCAACCCAATAATTATTTTAATTGTCTGAATTATTATATTTATTTTTACATTTTGTATTGGGAGTATATCTTTTTATTATATTTTTTATTTTAGACTTGTATTATAATTAACCTACATGTCTTACTTAATTGATAAAATATATTTATTTTTTACTTAAAAGTTTAATAGTTAACTAGCCATGCTTAGACTAAGGAGGGATCATGATTGCTAAACATTATTCAAATGAGCATTAATTATTCATAATTCCCTTGTTAAGACGAATCTCCACAATTGCCCAATAAATACAATTCCGAGTGTCACACATTGTTGAATTCTATAAAGAAATAATTGATTTATGGTCTCCCGTGCACAAATTGGCTGAAACGTGGATTAAAACAGGTGATTGCACTTTCTTTTAATGCTTAATTTAATGAAAATTTTTTTGATACTACAGAATAAAAAGGAAATATATTTAAATAATAAATTATTCCAAAATTTTAATTTTTACACTTTGAATTTTCAACTAATACCTATAAATGGAAGTATAAGTAATAATTAAACATTGAAAAGTGCCTTAAATTATAATTATCTTAATCATAATTACTTTTTTGGTGGCTCTCTCTAATGCCGCTGCATTACCACCAGTTCCCAATTGCCATCCCCTGTTTTTAGTGCTCTCAATTTTATCTTTTATACCGAAAGTTATCGCCTATATATATAGCCACCATTTCATGCTTCTTCCATATACTTCTCTCTACGTTCAAAAAAGGAACCGGTGCTCATCCCTAAACCCTATGTTACCTAAATTTCTCATTACTTTCTATAGTTTTTTCCTTATTTGTAGCAGACAAATTCTAATATTTTGTGATATTTTGTATATGTTTTTCAGGTACTGCTCCGTCATGAAGATTATAATAGTTAATATTTTCATTATAATTTTATCAATCTCTACAATTGACGCAAGAAAATTCGTGCATATTACAACGATGCATCACAATGCAATCTCTGTTAATCGTCGTTTAGGTGAGATTAGTAAAAATGTTAGAGTATTAACAGATGCCGAAAACATCATTAATGATGGCATGGTTAATGTTAATGACAATATTGATAGTAATACAAAATTTGATAATCATGATTTAAATCATAAACTTCATGATCATCAAATGTATAAAAATCCTAATGGTTATAGTTTTTGCACTAAAGAAATTGCAAAAAACTGTCCACCAATCGGGAGAAAGTAAATATTTAGCATCTATTATATTATTAGAGGGGGCTATGATGGTGTAAAAAAGTTTGTAAGTAATGTTCTCTGCATATATGTGAAATATACAATTATGTTGTGTGGCTTTGTACTAAAGTGGGAATTAACTTAATCACATCATGTTAAGAGCCAAATTAATTCCCATTTGAAGGATTAATGGGCGGTTTTTAGTTTGTAGTTAAATATAAAGCTGTGTATTTTAGTTATTTATCATGTGTTGATATCATATATAAATGGCAGGCCTCCTATGATATAAATAAAAGATTTATTTCCCATTTCTGATATATGTGTGTGTGTGTGTATGATGATTAGCATAATGAATTAAAATATACACACTACCATTTTCGTTGGCCAAGTACATATAGCTTATGGGTATAAATATGAAGTTTGTGAAAGCATATGCACATGCAATCAATCGTATAATACGTAGTATATATGAGTATATATATATATACATAAATGTACACAATCACGACTCCACTCGTGTCACTCTATAATATTAACTGAGCCAATTTACTTCTTTCTCTTATTATTTTTTACCAAACTCGAAATTGGATATATAATAATAATAATAAATTTAACAAAAATAATAATTATAATATTTATAAAATAATAAAAATAACATATCGACTTACTCGAGCCCAATTTATAAACCCAATAGACTAAGTTTAAACCCAATACATCATGAACCCAACTGAATGTTTATTTTATAAATTTTTTAAACTTGGACCCGAAATAAGCCCAATCAAGAACCAATCCGACCCGTAAGCGCAAACGACAGGGACAGGCGTCGTTTTTCTCTTATTATTTAAATTAGGCGAATGCGATTGATTGGTTATTCATCCCCGAGACCGACCCCGCCTCAAAACCGAACGGCGTCGTTGCAGTCAAAACAAATCTTACTTCAAATCGAACCACGAACACCGCTAAAAACTAAAAACATTAAACCCAGAGCTTCTCTCTCAGTTCGCAATCAATTATAAGCTAGCGAAACTCATCACCAGTTACAGCACATTGTAAGATGTCTCGCAACGACGACTACGACGACGAAGAAGGAGGAGACGAAGATGGAGAGCAGTTTTCTGACAGCGATGACGACGACGGTTTCAAGGAGGACATGGAAGCCCTAAGGCGCGCCTGCATGATCACAGGCACGAATTTAGATGACCACGACGGCACAGCCGGTGAAGCCCCCTCCAATTCCGCCATCGCTGGTTCAGGCGACGAAGGCTGTGGTGTGGGAGATGGAGTGGCTTGGGAGTCGGATGGCGAAGAGGACATCAAACTGTTCCGAAGCATCCGGGAACGATTCGCTTTGTCGGAAGACGTTCGCGAGCCTCTGTCAATGAAGCCATTGTGTATTTTGCCGCCTCTTCCCTCGGATGACGGTGATGAAGAAGACTTCGAGATATTTCGTTCTATTCAGAGGCGTTTCTCTGCTTATGAAGATAGCGGTAAGTTCCTTATGTTCGGAGTTCGTGTATTTATGGGGGTTTACATTCAAAATTTATGCTTCTCTCTGTTCCGTTTCATTTTGCGTATATAGTTTGGAACTGTGAACTACTTTTTTAGCACGTTGGTGGTGAAATTGGTATATCTTCCAGTTCAGGTTTTACGGTATGATTTTTCCTTGCTTCTGTTTGGATTAAGATATGAAGCTTACATCAATTGGCATTCTTGTGATTACTTCTTGTTCGGGGTATATTGAATCGCTCCTTATAAGTGGTTTGCATAAGAGATAGAACTTGTATTAGTTAAGATCATTTAAGATTACTAGTTGTCTATTGCTGCTTTTTGAGATTTCTTGCGATCATCCCTGTTGGTATACCTATTGTGTTAGTGCAATGGTTTGAATGTGGCGGTTGCATTATCAGCGCCGGGTGTTGATGTGCATCTTTCCCTCCCTTTCTTCCCCCTAGTATCCCTGACATTTTTTTTTCTAAATCTTCTAATGCAGATACTCCCAAAAACTACATGGAGGATCTTTTGCGGAAGCCAGAGCAGGTACATGCATCTGGTATAACCTCGGAGAAAGGAACTTCCTATGATATGTTTATGAATAGAACTAACACTTGTGAAGGATTTCCAGATAATGGACAAGCACGTGACAACATTGCGGATTCTGTAGCAACAGCTAACATCATTCTAGATTCTAAAGAAGCGTGTGAGCCAGTCCATTTAAGGGAAGACACTGCACAACCTTCCACTTTAGCTGGCCGGCTGCAGGCAGATGCATGCAAGTCTGAATTGCCGCATAGCAATTCTAGTTTCCCAGAGTCAGCACAGGTGCTTATTGATGCCATTAGGAAGAACAGAGCCTATCAGAGGTTCATTCGAAGCAAGCTGACTCATATTGAAGCAAGAATTGAGGAGAACAAGAAACTCAAGGAGCGTTTTAAAATCCTTAGAGATTTTCAGGTTTCTTGCAAAAGACTAACAGGAAAGGCACTGTCTCAAAAAAAGGATCCTCGTGTCCAGTTAATTTCAGCACAAAGGTCTAGGTCTGCTGATGATTGCGAGGTAACAGTTTTCCCTGATTTCAGCACAAAGGATTCTCGACTAAAAATGATTTCATCACATATCGAGCTAACTTGAGTTTGAACTCTTTGATTGCTTCCTTTGTTCTTTGAGAGAGGATGGGACTTGATTAAACTATACCTGCCGTTCTTTTGATATTATGCTTTGTTTACAGCTTTGATTTAGGTGGCTTCATCTTGAAGTTTTTTTTTTTTCCTGCAGGTTAATGATAAAAAGGTGTCTGCTATGAATTCTGGGCCAACTGAGAATTCTCATGTTGCTAACTATAGAATGGCATTGACGAAATTTCCTCTTTCATTCCCTTGCAAAAAATGGTCTGCCGAAGAGAGAAAAAATCTGGCAAAGGGAATAAGACAACAGTTTCAAGAAATGCTGCTTAATGTTTCAATGGATCGAATCAGGTATCCTTATTGATATTTGCACTTGTAAATCTTAATTAAAATGTTTGGTGCCATTACGACTTCTAAGCATGCTCATTTAAAACCTGTGTGTAACTACTGTTGTTTGTTGATATTTTTTTTTTTGGTACTGTGAATTAGCCTGTTGTACTACATTTTAGCATCATTAAAATGTATTTGTGATTATTCTATCTCTAGGCATCTAGTGAATTTCTCAAGTATATTGATCATTAAAAATAAATCTCACTGCCATATGATGTTTGAATGTTTTTTACCAAACTTACTCCCATTTCAAGGCTTCTTTAGAAGCAAAATATATTTTCCCGGAAAATAAACAAAATTTGGCAATGTTGGTGACTACTCTAGAAGGGAGCCATGTTTCTCGTGAATAGTTATATTGTTTAGGCTTTGTTACTTTAAACATTTGCAGTAACAATTTTAGTAGATGGTAATGGACTTATGGAGGAAATAAAACTGCATGACTAGCTTTTTGTCAAGCTGTGCATTTAACTAGATTGGACGCATATATTTGCATAGTTATTATAGGTTTATGTTATGAATGCAAATATAGAAGGTACAGTAAGAATAAAAAATTGACATTCAATTAAATATTGAATCCTAATTAATATTATATTTATAAATAGTTGGAATTCTAATTAGTATTAGATTTCTAAATAATATATATATTTTTTCTATTAGTACTTGATTCCTAAATATTGAAGGACTTCTAATATCTTAATAGAGTATTCCTCATTAGATCTTAAATTTCAAATTATATTAACATTTCTAAATAAGAATTGTAACCTCTATATAAAATGATATGTTTGATATTAATAAAAGATAAATCAGAATATTATTTTAAATTATAAGATTAGAGTTCTTTTTAATAAAGTCCAAGGTAGCAGCTCCCTTTGATGAGATATAATTTATTTTCACAAAATAGGTCAGTCTCGCAATAAGAATAAAGGTGTTAACCTTTTACTAGAAGACAACTTTATTGTTAATTGTCCGGTGACTCGATCCTTAATCAAAGAACATAACAGTTTATGGGGTCAATAAATTACAAGAAATGTATAAGGGCAAGAAAACTAACTGAATATTTGAGATTTATTCCGTATGAGACAAAATCAGAATCTTGACTGTACTCGTTAATCATGAGGATAATTTATTGGCAAACAACCTTGTAAGGCTGTATTTCAAAGCTCAATTCTCATATAAATGTTGAGATGTTGTTATTGACTGAATTACTTTCCCTTCTGATAGCTTTTCCTGGCGGGCATTTTTATCCTGATGCAACTTTTATTGACAGTGCTACTGAGGGGTCTTCTGGAGATTCAAATAATTTGGATAACATTCTTACATCTATCAAAGATCTTAAAATTACCCCAGAAATGATTAGGCGGTTTCTTCCCAAAGTTAATTGGGATAATTTGGCTTCAATGTATGTTACTGGTCATTCTGGTTCAGAATGTGAGACACGGTATGTACTATTATAACAGTGAACAAGTCCTACCATTTAATATTTTGAGACTTTGACTAATTCTTATATTGATACTTGCTAATATATTTTTGACAATCAGATGACCAGTCTCAGATTGTGTAACTTGACAAGTGTTTTATGTTTATTGATTTTATTATGTGGCATGTGTCCTTCAATGAAGCTAGGACTGGAGATCTCTATGATAATTCCATCACAGACACCTTTGTCATTGCACATTTAACAAATTATCATATATACATGTACTACTTAAGGCAGTGGTATTGAGTGCTTCCATGATGATTATATCATAGATAGATGTCTGTGATGCTTTTGTTTTTGTATAGGGCAACTACAGTTTTATCTCATAGTTTTACTTTTTCAAGATAAAACCCTGTGTTATTTTTAAAACATTCCACAAGCTTAAAGTCTATCCATCAGCCATACTTTTTTTTATTTAAATATATCCATTAGCCATAGTTATCAACAATGTTTTTTTTTTTAAATCTACACTTTTTTTTACAATATAATGTTTTGCTGTTTGCATGTTTTAAAAAGTCATACCAATTTTTTTTTGTAATATTTTACTACCTCGAGACTTCTACACGTGTCTTTGTGATTAGTTAGTTTTTTCTGTAAGATTAATACTAAAATCTTAGGTTGGCAGAATGTTAGCATAAAAAGTCACAAGGTTTGACTTTTAAAAAAAATGAACAGTAGAGGATGAAATTGTAACTTTTTGTTCTTTTTTATATCATTGAAATGAATGTTGCCATATAATTGTTGGTAGCTTTTGTTTCATTTCTTATTTCGTTGTGTGTGATTAATCTCTGCAGATGGTTGAACTGGGAAGATCCATTAATCAACTGCGATCCATGGACTGCTGAAGAGGACAAGAATCTATTGTGTATTATCCAAGATAAGGGGATCACAGACTGGCTCGATATTGCAATATCCCTGGGGACAAACAGGACTCCATTTCAATGCTTGGCACGGTATCAGAGAAGTTTGAACGCTTGCATATTAAAAAGGGAATGGACAGAGGATGAGGACGATGAACTTCGCATGGCCGTAGAGAAGTTTGGCGAGCATAATTGGCAGTCTGTTGCCTCTCTTCTGAAAGGACGGACTGGTCCTCAATGCTCTAATAGTCAGTTAGTTACTTGAAAAATTCATCTTGAGTTATATAACATTAGTTTGTTTCTTGTTCTCGTGTTTTTTTTAAACTGCAATATATTTTGGATATGCCATCAGATATTCTGTAGAATGCTTATTTTTTAAGGTTTTTGAATCTTGTAGCAGAATATATATTTTTTGAGAGAGAAAGCTAGAATAAGATTAAAGGGCACTAAGGGAATTCAACCGGTAAACAAAATTACAAAGAGAAAGGAACAAAAAGATCATTTTTGTCCATGTCATACACGAAGAGATGATCCTTGACAAAAGACTGAGGGTTCTAAATCAATGGTTCTTGATGGATCTTGAAGAATGTTATCGTCCTGATTTAATGAGTTCATTATGTGATTTTTTTGATAGTATAGGTTATTAAAGGAGAATCCAATGATTTTCTAGAGTTAAAAGTAGTCAAGAAACTTTTTTGACAAATTTTTCTGCATCTCCTTTTCAGAGACAATAAGTGGTTTTTACACAAGAGGGATGAGGAGCAGGGGTTCTGGTGGTTATTTCTAGAGCAGTTACCGCTGCATACTCTCCCTATTTTCTCCTATTATCCTACCACATTATTACATGAATACCAACTTAAATGTCCTACTTGGTATACATAAAATCCAGCAAACAAGGAGCAGTTAATCTCTGGAATTTTATCCTTATTTCCAGATTTAAGTAACTAACAACCTCCTTCTTCTTATTCTCTTCTATTTTATCCTTCAACTAATTTATACACATGTTAGCTTTGTAGAGGAAGAGTATGATTTTGGGCTGGCCCCATTCGCATGGCCTAGAAAGTAAAAGAAGGGCGACTTCCATGGATCCTAGGTTCGACCTCCTAATGAGAATTGAGGTCCTTGCGCGGGTGTGTTATCCCTAAGATTTGCTTGCTCTGTATGGAGTGCCCCGTGGTTCCTCGAGTGCCAGCGCAGAGAGGAATGCCATCAACTAGGGCACTATTGGCCACTAGTCACTCGTTCGCCAGCCGCTCAGGCTCTGCGTTTCAAGTTTGTTATCCTAACCGTCTCCTCTGCTCCACCAGGAGCCTGGTCCTTCTTCTATCTTATCTACTGCCTTGCTCCTCGGCTTCCTGCTGAGCCAGAGTGGGCTCAGCAGTCGGCCTATGTTTCTGGACGCATGCGTAGAGGCATGATTAATTCCACAAATTTCACTGCACTGACCATAGTAAACTCCTTTTGGTTGTACCAAAACAGAGATCTGATTTAAACGACCAGGTACAGCAGTACATTTGACACCTGAGGAAGGTACAGCCCAACTATGAGGTACATCAGCAGATGTTACAATAATACATAGATAAGTTTTGGCTGGTACAACCACTCTATTGTCCACTTCTAACAAACATGATTGACCCAATTCTAGATCATCTTCTGAAATCATATAATTGTCAAAAGTTAGTGAGTGTTTATTGGAACTGTTATAGTTTGAATACTCATAAGTACCATTAATGTCCAATAGCTTTGATAGTAACCGCTGGATCTACTGCTACCTCGTCCATTGAGTATAAGAGAGCAAATGATGCTATAGCAATGAACATCGGGATGATACTAGGAACTATGGTCTGAAGAATCTCGATAGTAGTTCAATCCTTTGCGGGATTGGATTTTTTTTTATTGTGGAAATGCCATAAAGCACGAACCACGATCCATAATACGAAAACCAAAATCAGAATGAAGAAGAAAAAGATATCGTGATGTAAGTCTATTATTTCCTGCGTCATAGGTGTTGCTGGGTCTTGAAATGCTAATTGCCATGATAATTATACAAAACATACCTTGATATATCATTAGTATTAGATACAATATAATATCTAAATATGTAATTAAATTTCTCTTCCTCTTTGAGCATCTTTTTGTTATATAGACCTTAACATCCCTCCTTCCCTCCAAATTGTGCTTGTCCTCAAGTAGAAAACAAAGAAAATCTTCGTGCAGATCTATTGGTTCATGAATATTATGTGAGGACGAATCAGCAAGCTTCAACAAAAAGAGACCTGATGTGTCAGCATTTCATTTGGACATTTCAAATGGAAACATCGACTACTTCCAATATAAGGATTGTTTGAGTCTGTAAACTTTCTGTTAGTGATTTGACTTTCAAAGTCTGGTATTATCTCCTTATAATTTATTCCTCCAGCTCTCACCAAGAAAAACATTTTTCATATTTAGTTCAATTCAGATTGGCAGTTAGGGACTTTAGTATCTGAACTGTGTTAGTTTTGCTACTGGTGCAAATGTCTCTTGATAGTTGATTTCATAAAATTTGATAAAGCCTTTGGCTATTAATCGAGGTATGAACTTGTTGTTGATACCACCATTAGCATTATACTTCATTGTCAACACCTATTTACGACCGAGTGTTTTCCAAGTAGTGAATTCTGTTATTTCCCAAGTTCAATTCATTTTTAAGGCTTGAATTTTCTCCATGATTGCAGTTTTCTATTTGGGTACTTTTATTGCTTCATGTATCGTCCTTGGTATCTATATTTTTATCAGTATTGCTAACAAATATTTGGTAAGTTGATGGAATTTTGTATGAAACAGAATTGCGAATTGGTTGATCAGTGTATGCTCTTCTTTATTTTCTTAAGTGGTGTTGTTTTATTTAAAAAAAAAAACAATGATACCATGTAAAAGAGTAGACCGGTTGATAGAGGATAAAGAGAATTTGAGGATAATATTTGGAGAAAATTTATTAAGATCCAAAATTGGAGCTCATAATTGAACCAGTAACTCAATTTTCTACCACAATAATCATATGAATAGCCTGCCAATTTACTAAGCTGTGATATCCTATTTGTATGAACTGTACAATCAAAATAGAGATTGTCAGTATATCTAGAAATTCTACTAAAGAGAAAAGAAGGCGATTAATTGGAATGACATATGATAGAGAATAACTAAATAGGACCCTAACAAAATAGGAAATAATAAACTCACACCAATAATAAACCCGTGGGTTCTAGTTCCTAAATAAACTAAATACATAAACATTATAATTATGTAAATCTCTTAATATTGAAATATGTCCATTTAGAACTTCCTATTCCTGCATCAGTGTTATATTACTAGAGTATTGCTCTTGTTATTAAAATGTAGTATATAAGAATTTATAGGGACGCCTGTTGTGTTATATTACTAAAGTATTGCTCTTGTTATTAAAATGTAGTATCTAGGAATTTATAGGGACGCCTGTAACAGGAATATGAAAGTGAAAACAAGAGACAGTGCAAAAGAAACTAAATCTTATGGAGTATAAACAGTATAAAAATGCTCTCTCCCACTTTGCAGTCAGTGGAGCTCAGTGTACTAGGATATTTGTTTTTACAGGATCACTGGTTGCATTCTGCTGAAATTTGATATCATCCTTTTGAGACATTTGTCAACTGATTTGCCATATAGTGCATTGATTTGTTATAGTTTCTTAAAAAAGGACCATTGAACTTACGTACCAGTGCATTATTTTGTCCATACAGATGGAAAAAATCACTTCATCCAACAAGGCTAAGGGTAGGCCTGTGGAACCAAGATGAGGACAAGCACCTGAAAGTAGCAGTGATACTTTTTGGGCCAAAGAATTGGAAGAAAATATCTCAATTTGTGCCAGGAAGAACTCAAGTGCAGTGTCGAGAAAGGTATGTCAGTTAAATCAATGGTGCCATTTAAGTGATATTGACTTAAAAGTTATTGTTATTTTCTTTTTGGTGGCAGATGGGTCAATTGTTTGGATCCTTCTTTGAATAAGGGTGAATGGACGAAAGAGGAGGATTCGAGGTTGAGAGCAGCAATTGCAGAACATGGTCACTGTTGGTCCAAGGTTGCTGCCCACTTACCATCGCGTACTGACAATCAATGTTGGAGGTATGTTGTTTTGCATATTAATGACTGGGTCAAAGTCTCTAACATGCTTGTTTCTTGTTCTTATTTTCTTAAATTTTCTGAACTTCATAATGACTGCATTCTTGTACTTTACAAACAGGAGGTGGAAGGCATTGAATCCTGATAAAGTGCCACTAGTCCAAGAAGCTAGAAGAATGCGGAGAACAGCTTTTATATGCAACTTTGTGGATCGTGAGTCAGAGCGTCCTAAGCTTGATCCAAAAGATTTTATACCATTGGCAATCACAGATACTCCATCTGAAACTGGAAATATAATGCCATCTAAGAGAGATGGAGGAAATATAATGTCATCTAAGAAAGATAGAAGAAAATTAAGGTATCCCATACAAAAAACTAAATCTATTATTCCTAAATGTGCTTGTTGCTTATCCTTTGTGCTTGCCTAATGTTTTATTATATATTGATTCTGAGTTTTCATGATTCATTAGCAGAGGGAATGCAGAATCTAAGAATGGAAAAGATGCAGCAACTTAGTAAGATTATTTTATCTTTATCTTACTCTTTTACAACATATTTCTAGAATAATGTTATAAATTTTGCTCTTAGGATAGTTCAAATTTTCACATGTGGCTTCTACACAAGCAAAGCTATTCTTGTCACAATCATGCTTACAGTGTCTTCTTTCACTGAGTTCAGCAAGATTACACAAAAGGTTCAATCAAGAAGAGGTAGAAAGAGACAGAGAAGTGAGACTCAACAAGTCACAGGGATAACTGGTGGACGAGACGTTGAAACCTTGGACGGGGACAGAACTATTGAAAGGAATAGAAGAAAAAATTTGTGCTTGAAACAAAATAGATTTTCTGAAGCAGTGGGACATCATTCATCATCTTTCCAGAAGGACGGCGCCATTCAAAGGAAGAAAACAATAAAATCATGCTTGAAAAAGAACAAATCTTCTGAAACAGTGCAGGATCATTCATCACCTGATCAGGTTTCAACATTTTTTACCAGCAACAATGGTGGCACCAACACTACAAGCGAGAAAAGGTTCATCCAAACTCATTCAAGAAAAGGCAAACATGTCGTACCAGATACAGACAGTGAGACTTTTGTTTCATTATATCCTGAGAGTGTTCAATCGGGAATATATGGTGTGGAAGCCTCTGGAGAGAACAATCCAACATCAAGGAGAACAAAAGTGCCTCGCAGGCGGCGCTCTAGGCGTAGATGTGCTGAAATGGGTGAAGAAGTGCAACAAGCATTCAACACTGTGGAAAGTGATTTGGATGGTGATATTACTCTTTCTCACTTCATGAAAAACAGATTGAAGAAGCGGCGGATCAATTCCAATGACCTACCAAACATCATTTCCGACAAGGCTGATGACAATGCACGCCATTTTGTAGAATCCACGGGAGGATCCATGAGCATGAATCTGGAACATGCTCATCAAACTGGGAATCCAACTCCAGTTAACAACACAGCTCAAGACAAGGAACCTACATCAAGGAGAACAAAAGTGCCTTGCAAGCGGCATTCTAGGCGTAGATGTGCTGAAATGGATGAGGAAGTGCAAGAAGCACTCAACACTCTGGAAGGTGATTTGGATGGTTATATTACTCTTTCTCACTTCATGAAGAACAGATCGAAGAAGCGGCGGATCAATGCTTCCAATGATTCACCAAACATCATCTCCGAAAAGGCTGATGAAAACGTACGGCATTTTGTAGGGTTCACGGGAGAGTCCATGAGCATGAATCTGGAACGTGCTCATCAAACTGAGAATCCAATTCCAGTTAACATCACAGCTCAAGATAAGGAACCTTGTAGAAAAGACTGTGGAGAAGATGGGATAATTGCTACGACCGAAGCAGTGAATACCAACCTGGAAACTGATAATGAGGCTGGTCATATTACTCTGGCTCCCTTTATGCACAACAATACCAATTTGGTAACTGATAATGAGGCTGGTCATGTTACTCTGGCTTCCTTTATGCACAGTGAGAGAAACAGGCAGGGTGGAATTGTTTCAAATGATATATCAATGGTGCTACCGGCTGATGATGCATGTGGTGGAGACCAAATGGCAACAGAATCTCTTGGCACCTACCCGGAATCTGCTCATGCTCATGAGTCCAGCGATGGACCTGCGGTCCATGTAGAAATTAGTGACAAGGAGCCTGGTAGAATAGATGCTGCGGAAGGTGGAAGTGTTGGTGGAAGCGATGCAGCCCATGTCAATCTGGAAGATAATTCGGTAGCTGAGGATTTTAAACTGGCACACTTGGTGCGTAAAAGACTGAAGAGAAGGTAAAATCGTTTGCTTCAGATGGGATGGAGTAATGAAGTCGAAGGTATTACTGAATAGAAAGTAGAGAGTAGAGAGTGGTTTCCTTTTTCCGGCAATTTGTGGGAGAGGAAAGGAAATCAGGGATTATGGAAAGCTGAACACCGTGGGAAGTTCCGTTTTTGTTGGTAAAATTGTGAAGGTAAAAATAATATATAAATATTCCCCACGGGGAAAGACATCGGCATTGGAAAGTCTTCAGAATACAAATATTTTTGGAATACACACTAGAAAAGAAGAAAATTACTTTCTGAAACAGGCCTTTGCACGTAACAAACTGAAAAAAAAAGGAAAAATGAATGTATTAAAGAAATTGATTTACTTGGAAAGATAAAAGAAAATAATTCTTTTTTATTTATCTCGTGCTAATTATGCATTAAAATGAAAATTAAATAAAAATAAATCAAACATAATGGTTAATAAAGAACCTTTTGTAACGACTAAAAAGACAGAATATTCCATAAACTTAATTCTTATTATAAAACATAATTTTTATTGAGAAATACTTTTAACAAATTAAAGCTCATATACTTACAGAGCATGGCACCTTAATTTTGCTTACAGGTCACACACAGATCAAGAGCCTCATGGTATAGTTCCTGTATTTGGAACAAATTAACTAAGATCTTTCTTTCATGATTTCTTCATAAATCTTCGTCTTCAATATTAAAATAAATATAAATTTTTGAACAAATTTAACAAAAAGAAAGAAATTCAAGAATGAACATTTAAGTATAAACCTCAACAACGAAGAGAAAAATTTGTAATTAAGAAAACCGATGTACTCCACATCTAACAAAATATGAAAGCAAAAATAACAGAGGCCTCAAAGCCATATAGATATTAGTAACATCCAAACACGAAAATAACCATCCAAATATCCTTAAAGAAACCATTTTTAAACAAAATCTTAAATAACGTTTTGAAGCCGGCTACAAAGAAAATAAACTACTTCCTGTCAAAAAATAAAAAGCACAGCATTATGGCAATTACTACTCAAGCTGCTTCTTCCTAGTAACGCCCAATCCCCCAAACTCTGATAACACCGTCTGTATAACCACTGAACAAGATGCTTCCATCTGCACTCCAGTTCAAGCTTGTGCAGTATATCACCTGCAAAACCAAAACCCAGAACATTAGACACACAACCCAGAACCGCCAGACGAAAATCACAATAAAACTCCAAACCAAGACACCCTAACAAATTATCAATTTTCATATTAGCCCTTCCAAAAACAAACTCAAATCAATAACCAGAGGTATCAAAATCAATTGAGAGATAAAAAATAATGATAAATTTAAATGAAAATGATCCTTATCTCAAATCATCTGACTTAAAGTTGCTCAGCTACAAGAACACATCGCTCAGGTCAATCCCCAAATCATACAATTAGCACGTATCAACCAGAGCAAAGACATGATACAACTATAAAATCCGCCTCCAAGCCAATAAGCAGCATGCATGCTACAATCACATCCGCCCCCAAGCCAATAGAAACCTAAGGCGTTGCTGATTACTTACTTACAACGGTTTACCCTCATACCCATATTAAAAAGAATACAACTTTCTAAAAACTAAAGAATTCGCGCAAAGCAGAGTTCATATATACTTGTGTAATAGACCAGAGCGAAGACCGCAGAACAGACTCCACTTGCACTTGATTGTAGTACAATGGCAATACTTATCATACATGATACAATCACACACACCGCCTATAAACCAGTACAATACCTAAGGCAGCCCGTTTAGAAAGTAAACACCTTTCTAAAAACTAAGCGATGAAGATAACCCGTTTTTGAGAATTCGCACAGAAGATAAACTAGCGTGTACTAAATTTAAATACATGATAAAAATTACCAAGCAACAAAATACCTGCAAATACAAGACAGAAACAAGGCAGCAACATGAATCAGAAATAAAATATGTTATCTAATTGTGATTGTAATGCTTCAAACTTGTATGATACACAGAGCAAATGATATCAATATATGAGAATGTAAACCCATGGAGAAATAACACAAATCCAGGGCACATTAACCTGTAAATCATGAGAAAATCCCACCAACTATAATAAAGAATGCAGATAATCGAACCAATCAATCTAAACTATAAGAAGGTATACCTTCTTCTTGTTGCCGACGGCGACGTTGCCATCAGCCTTCTCGGCTTCGGCCTTGAGATCAACTTTCAGATCCTCAACAATGCTCTTGCTCTCCAGATCCCATATCTTGATGCTCTGCTCAGTGGCGGCGCACAGCCAATACCTGTTTGGACTGAAGCACAGGGCGTGGATCACCGAACCAGCATCAAGTGAGTAAAGCCTCTTTCCTTCTGCCAAATCCCAAAGCAGAATCACACTGTCCTTGCCACCACTTGCACAAAGTGATCCATCAGGTGACACAGCAACAGTGTTGACATAGCCGGAATGGCCAGCAAGCGTGCACCTTAACTTGCAGTTGGTAAGATTCCACACCTTGACTGTCTTATCCCAAGAAGCCGACACGATGGTTGGCTGCATGGTGTTAGGGCTGAACCTGACGCAACTCACCCAATCGCTGTGAGCGTCTCCATCCTGGATGGTGTACTTGCACTCACCCAAAGTGTTCCACAACTTTATGGTGCGGTCCCGGGATGCCGACACGATCTGACGATTGTCGATCGAAAAGGCGACGGAAAGCACATCCTTCGTGTGGCCGACGAAGCGGCGGGCGGAAACCCCTGTGGTTAAATCCCAGAGGCGGAGCTCACCGTCCCAGGAGCCAGAAAGAGCGAACTGACCGTCCGACGAGAGAACAACATCCTGAACGAAATGAGAATGCCCTGTTAGCCTGCGGCGCGGGACACCATTGCCCTTGTCATCCTTACTTACGTCCCAGACGATGATTGATTTGTCTCGTGAAGCCGAAACGATCATATCAGAGTTATCAATTGGAGTGGCGATGGCGGTCACCATATCGGTGTGGGCGCGAAGAGTACCGCGAAGTACAAGTCCCTCAGCCATTTTCTGGTCGAGTGGTTTGCTTCTGTCTCCCTAGGGTTTTTCTAGTGGGAGGCTGAGAGGCGAATATGAGCGAGAGAGGGACGATGCAGAGAAATGAGGAATTTATATGGAAGGAGATTGGGAGATTAGGGTTTTGTGAGGGTTGACTGGTTACAGCGGGTTAATGCGGCTTGCATATTACCGGCTATAGCCAGTGACCGGTTCTCCTCAACACTGTGGATAAATAGGTCAATACATTATGCAACTCTAAGCTTTTAAGTAAAATTGCTGGTTTTTTTTGTATAAAATTGTTGGGGATATTTGTTTAATTCGAACATCGGAGTATTATATAATTAAATAGAATTAATAACTTAACAACATAAAATTGATTAATTTGAAATACTTAAACCTATAGAATTTATTAAAAAAAATTAAATTTAAATAGGTTTGAATTCTTTTTTTTTTCCAAATTATATTAAGTTCACTGTTTATTCATTTCAATTATAATTCGATTATTTTATTATGTTAGTATAAATACAATTATATTTATATTTAAAAATTATAAATATTTGTTAATATAATAATATTATAATTAGCATATTTATATTAGTAAAAAAATTAATACGTACGTAAAGTGAAATTTAAAAGATAAAATTCGAACTCACTTTAATTTATAAACTTTTTTTTATTACCTTAATGTAAGGACTAGAAAGTAGAAAGAGTAGAAAAAAAAAATAAATAATAATAATAATAATAATAAAAACGACGTCGTTTTAGAGAGGGGAAAAACGACGTCGTTTTGAAAGAAAGAAAAACGACGTCGTTTTGGAGTAGGCTGGCAGAGTATAAAAGGAGGTCGGGAAAGGGAGAAGGAAGAGAGGAGAAAAGAAAAAAAAAAGGGAAAGAAAAGGAAAAAGAGAAAAAGAGAAAATGAGGGAAGGAGGACAGCGGAGACGAAGAAGAAGAGGAAAGTTCCAGAAGGAGAGAGGAGAGAGTCGGGGCGGAGGGGAGCGAGAAGGGAGAGGGAAGGAGGTCGTGGACGGACGACGCGACCGGCAGGAAGAAGGAAGATGGAAACGGGAGGTACGGTGAAAATTTGAGCTGTTGGTGTGGTGTGTGTGTGTAGAGAATTTTGTGCAGGTGCGGCGTCGGCAATGGCGCGACGGAGTGGAGCAGTGAAGGTAGGCCGTAAGCGTGGGGTTGTCCCGCGCGCTCACGGAGGTGATCGGGGAAGGAATGGAAAGTATGGCGGTGTTGGAGGCGTGTGGGGAGCCGTGGGGAAGGATGGGGGTGGTGCGGGTAGAACAGAGTGAGGAGGATGTGAGAGAATAATCTAGGGGGCGCGGGTGGGATAAAAACTCGAGAGGACAGAAGAGGTGTGTGCGTGGTGTGTGCGTGGGTGGGGATGTGGAGGGAGCCGCTAATAGGCGGTGATGTGTTTCCCCGAAATGCACGGTGGTGAGGGCGTGTATGTGGTGTGAAACGGTGCAAGCTGAGAGGTTAATCACCCTAGGTAGGCAAAAGTGTATAGGAACCGGGAGGAGGCAGGAGGATGGGGGAGGTAGCGGGTAGGGGGCAGTGGGAGAGGGAAGGGAGCTGGAAGGTACGGCAGTGGGGACTAGGAAACAGGATTTGAGGGGGATTGGATGGGAGAAGGGGAGTAATGTGGTCAGTAGGAGTTAGCAAGTTAGAACG